TCTCAGAATCTCAGAATCTCAGAATCTCAGAATCTCAGAATCTCAGAATCTCAGAATCTCAGAATCTCAGAATCTCAGAATCTCAGAATCTCAGAATCTCAGAATCTCAGAATCTCAGAATCTCAGAATCTCAGAATCTCAGAATCTCAGAATCTCAGAATCTCAGAATCTCAGAATCTCAGAATCTCAGAATCTCAGAATCTCAGAATCTCAGAATCTCAGAATCTCAGAATCTCAGAATCTCAGAATCTCAGAATCTCAGAATCTCAGAATCTCAGAATCTCAGAATCTCAGAATCTCAGAATCTCAGAATCTCAGAATCTCAGAATCTCAGAATCTCAGCATCTCAGAATCTCAGAATCTCAGAATCTCAGAATCTCAGAATCTCAGAATCTCAGAATCTCAGAATCTCAGAATCTCAGAATCTTAGAATCTCAGAATCTTGGAATCTCAGAATCTCAGAAACTCAAAATTTCAAAATTTCCAAATTTCAGAATCTCAGAATCTCAGAATCTCAGAATCTCAGAATTTCCGAATTTCAGAATTTCAGAATCTCAAAATTTCAAAATTTCAGATTTTCAGAATCTCAGAATCGCAGAATCTCAGAGTTTCAAAAATTCAGATATTCAATACTGAGTCAGAAATTCAACCATATTTTCACAAAACCATCACAAAGAGGACCTCAAGAACTCACCATTTGTGATAACTCGAATCATTTTCCGCAGTTAAAAAACTAATTGGAATTGATGTTGCCAAAAAACTTTAGTATAAGCTTTTTTGCCAATCGGAAGACTAGACTTTCCTACCTAATCCCCTTTATAATAGATCACTTTTTCCATGAATTTCTGGGTTTTTCAATGCATCTGTTCAAATATTTCTCCCCTTCTTTTCTGATGATTGCTTCTCTGCAAATGTATTGGTTTTCGTATTGTATCCTTTTTTTTATTAAAATTGACCAAGAGGAGGAATTTTCACAAATATATCTAAAATTTTGTAAAAAATGAAAAGATTTAAAGACCAATTGAGAATCTAGAAGTTTTGGGAAACAGATACTATACCCAGAAGAAGAAAAAAAAATCCCAACTCTTTAAAATTGAAAGAATCCGGTATTAATAAGATGAATTTATAAACCTATAGGTTGCAATCAAAAGAAAAGAAAAAGAAAAACACCAATGGAGGGGGTCAATTCAATCTCGCTGTTGAGATCATCAAGAACGTCCAGCACAGCGAAATTTTTCGGAAGTTGATTGAAGTCTGAAAAAATTGAGCAAATTAAAGACTTTACATTTTTGAAGCTGAATATTTAAAGCTAAAAAAATGTCACATGCGCTTTTAATTTTAGAATATATACAGTAAGGTGGTCAAATATACACAACTTATTTTCAGTTGATTTACAGCCATTTTAACCATTTTCAGGTCTGGAGCTCAGCTGTCAAGTTTCCGAAAAGAACTTTAAAATTTTGAACTTTTTGAGTTTCTGGAGGATTCTGAAAGATTCTAAAGAACTTTGAAATTCCGAATCAAACTTTTCAGAACATACGGATTTTATGTCCACGCACTTTAATTTCCCAAGAAACTCTTCCTTCTCTCTTCTCTAGGATCTTCAATATTTTACTCCCGATGAGCTTAACGGTCTATTAAAAAAAGTTTTTAAAAAACTTCTAATGTGCCATCATTTCACATTTATTCCGCCTAGTTTATGGTGTCCCTCGAGAGAGACTCCTTCTATTTCGTAACCCATTTCGTAAGTATCGGCTCGTTGAACGAGCGAGGACGGAATATTAAAATACACACAGAGACATCCCCGCCGGAAAGATTTTATATTTTCACGATTCAGGTTCTGATTTTTTCGAATCTCGAGTACGTTTACACTTTGGTTTCCTTTAGGTTCTATCCATCTGTCTTCTCCAGAACTGATTCATGTGTGTGTGTGTTTGCTTATTGAAACTGAAAAAAACGGAATGGAATGAGTAAAAAGAAAAAAGAAGAAGAAGAAGAAGGTGGGTGCCAGTTTTACTACTACCAATACTAATACTACCTCGCTAATTCGTTCTGTTCAGGGTCGTATTACGAATGTTATAATTGTTTCGGATGTTTCTGTTTTTTTAAATATTGTTGTGGTCCTCGTAAGAGTTCTTGATTAGTTTTTTTGTTTCAAAGGGAGTGTCTTTTTCTCAGTTTTGGTAGCATCCTAAAGTTTAAAAATTGAGATTCTAAAGTATTCCGAAATTCTAGAATATAACCAAGTTTTAAAACTCTGCAATTATATGGAATTCTGAAATGTCAAGTTTTGGGGTCCTAAAGAATTCTCAAATTTTGAATAATTCTGAACGATATTTAACTTTTTTAGGTTTTTGAAAATTTTGATATTCTGGAGGACACTAAGGATCCTGAAACTTTTCAAATATATTAATCTCTTTAAAGTATTCTGAGATTCTGGAGAATCCTCAGGTTTAGAAATTATTGCATTTCGAAGAATTCGTGAATGTTATATTTTTCTAAACTTTATGGAAGATAAAAACTTTCTGGATGATTCTGAGATTCAAATAAATTTCAAGTTTCTTGATGGTTTTAAGATTCTGAAGGATTCTGGGGTTCAGAAGTTATTGGATTATAAAATTCTATGGTTCTGAGATTATATAAGTTTCTGAGCTTTTGAAGAATTCCTGAATTCCAAAGCATTTATCTAAAATATTTAAAAGAATTATACAGTTTTGAACTTCTTCAAATGTTGAACTTTTGGATTATTCTGATAGTGAGAGATTTTAAAGGTATTCAGATTTTTCGAAACTTTTCAGAAAATACGATTTTTTGTAAATTTTTCTAAAAACGAAAGCAGATTTTGGTCTCAATTTTTTAATAAATAATGAAATTAAAATTAATACAAAATTTCTTCGGGGATTCTATTCCGAGATTCTATAGGAATCTGAAGAGTCCTAGAGTATTTTTAAGGACCTAAAAGCACTGAGATTTTGCGATTCTTGAATCTGGCCTTGCTGCGCATAAAATTTAAAACATTTTGATACCCATATTGCCCAGATCTCAAAAAATCTAAAGTTAGAGAATAAAAAGAATCTGAAATTCGAGAAAGACCAAAAATAAGAAAACTAGTGCAATATGGGTGTTATTTGAAAAAAAACAGGAATCCGAAAACTTTGAAAAACGACCTTATACGCATCATATTTTTCCCCCTATCTTCATCCTCTAGTTTTTTTTTGAATCGAACAAAGTCATTCAATTTGCATAAATCACCATTTCTTTTCAACACAATACTTACCTTCTTCTTTTTTTTTCTTTCTGGCTCTTCTGTTCCGATTTTCCTCTTTTTTTCACTCTCGTACCTTCTCAATTTTTTTAGGATTCCCAACTGACCAGTCAGATGAAAAAACACAATGTTAACGTAAGAGATATTAGAGATTTCTCGTAGTGTAAAAGCCAGGAAAAACGGACGAATGGGTTCAAATGAAATTGAAGAGCAGAGCAGGAAAAAATAGATTGTTTCCCATCGTTTAGATGTATAATTACCCTGTTGAATGGGACTTTTTAAATGCGAAACCGCTAGAATTACATTTCACCATTGTTTTCTTTATTTTGAATTTCAAATGCAATATCATTTTTTCCGAATTTTCGGATCTCTGAAATTTCAGAATCCTACTTTGATTCATTTTCCAGACTTCAAAAACGTTGGAAGTTTAAATAAAAGGTTTCTGATTTCGACCACATTCAAACCTAAAAAACTTTGACAGCGGTATATTTTAGGTTTCACTAACTTTTAGAAAAAAAACCGAGATGATTGATTTACGTTTTTTTTTCTCGCCGGTTGAGATTTCTATTTTTTTCAAGAATTTCTGTTTTCGAACCTTCTAGAAGTTTCAGAGATTTCTATTGATTGATATCAGTTTTCAAATAATGCTATTTTTTTAAACCAAAATTTCGCAAAAAATAGAATAAAAATCAGAAATTCTGAATTGATTTTTTTTAAATCGGCATTATTGAATTTTATAATTTTCCAACTTTCGAATTTTCGATTTTTTGAATTTCAGAGAATTTCAGAGTTTTTTGGCTCTTCTGACCTGAATCTTTGGAGAATTTGGGATTTTCAAAAAAAATATTTTATTTTCTGAAATGGCTTGTTTAATTTTCAGAATTTCAAGGAAATTGCATATTTTGAAAAGTATTACATTTTTCAGAATTTACATTATAGAAAATTAGTGGGAGTATCTCCAAAACTACTTCATATTCCCACTTTATTGGAGCTCAATTACCGTATTTCCTCTAATAGAAGCCCACTCAAACCATCAACTTTGAGCTCATTTATCTCGATTCCTCTGAAAGATATCAAAAATCTGTTAACTAATAAATTATTTATCATAATATCACCAATATTTTATCAGTTTAAAAAAATATTCATATCTTTCACAGGAATTGAGATAAGTGAGCTCAAACTTGACGACCTGGGTGGGCTTCTATTAGAGAAAATACGGTATCTCGATTCCTATGAGAGATATCAAAAATCTGTTATCAGATAAGGTGTTGTGATATTATGATAGAAACTTTATCAATTGACAAATTTTTGTTATCTCTTATGGAAATTGAGATAATTGAGTTCAAAGTCCAAGTGCATGGTGGCCTTCTATGATAGTGTTGACGGTAATTAACAACATAAATTTATCTCAATTTCTGTTTCTGAGGAATAGTCGTTCATTTTTTTTATTGATAATCCTCATCCTGACCCAATTAGTGATTAGTACTTCATAATTTTTCTCACATTTTCAATGATTCATAATTATTATCTTTCTTCTTCCTAACCTTGTCAACTCTTCCTCTTCCTCTCACTTTTCTCACTTTTCCGAACTTCTCAAATTGCAACATTTTTCTTGAAATGACTCAGTTTTCTACATTTCAATCAGCCCCTCCTCTCTGTTTACTTTTTTATAACTGATAACATTACAACCACAAAACGGGTCGTTACTCATTTATTTTCTTTTTTCTGTCTTCAGATGTTCCACTATGATCTTCTTGTCGTATTCCTAACGATTATTCCTTTTCTAGACACTCGAAATGTTGATCATGTAAGTCTTTAAAATGGAAATGGTCGAAAAAATTCCTGCGAAACCTGAAGTAGAAGAGCCCCCTTGAGCCAATTCATCTCAATACCTGCCAAAGATATAAACAAGTTGTCCACAGATAAATTGTTTATCATAAAATAATAGACATTTTATCAGTTGACATTCTTGACACCTTTCATTGGAAACGAGATAATTGAGCTCTTATATTACAGGTTTTACTGTTTTTTTATCGACCAAAAAACCAGCAACCAATATTCAAAACTTCTGAAATAACTTTCAGACCGAATTCCTTCAAAAATATGGGTATTTGCCCCGTGGCAGTAATCAATTAAGCTCAACATCCTTATCAGAGGCGCTGAAAAATATGCAACGAATGGCTGGATTAGAAGAAACTGGAGAGCTAGACGAGAGGACGAAACGGATGATGGAAAGACCGAGATGTGGACATCCGGATGTACAGGAGGACAGGTGAATTTATAAAAAACAGAGAAATTGAGAATATTGGGATTTTCAGACACTCTCGAGGCAAACGATATGCTCAGCCGCAGTTCAAATGGACGGATAAGGTTATTACTTATGGGTTAGTTGGATCTTTGAAATCTATATTTTTTGGGAGCGAAAATTTTGCCCATGAAATTTTTAAAAAGATCTGCGAAAAGGTTAAAAATTACGTTTTCTGTGAAAGGCTTAAATATAGAAGAAGAAGCATCTCATTTTTGTTGTAGACTATTTTTGTAGGCGCTTTTGTACCTTATGGCTCATAAGTTATGAGATACGATTTTTTTTGAAAATTGGATTGATACCAGATCTCTGTGTTAACTTCCAAACGTTACAAAAGATGAAAATCTCGATTTTTAGAAAATTTCAGTTTTTATTTTGTAGTTGACAATTTTCCAGCAAATCCAGTAGTTTTAGAGGCATGCCAAATTTCACATTTTCTAAAAAATTGCTGCAAGATAAATAAAGAGGTTATTTTCAAGCTTAAAGAGTTACATTTTTGAAATTTTTGAAATGTTTGGAATATGTCGGAATTCAAATTTCCGGAGATGGTAAGTATATAAATTGACTTGAAACCTGTAATAGGAGGGCACCCACACCGTCAAGTTTGAGCTCAATTATCTCAATTCCTATGAAATATGTTAAAATTATGTCAACTGATAAAATTTTTTGTGATATTATGATTAACATTTTATCAGTTGACAACATTTTGGTATCATTGTCAGGAACCGAGAAAAATTGGGTCAAAGTTAATAGTTAGGGGGCCCTTCTATTACAGGTTTAACGATAAATGATTTTCATAATATTTTAGAATCCCAGAGCTTGAAAAATAACAACAGTTTTTCAAGAAATTTCGAGAACTTTCTAGAAGAGATTTTTATGTTTTTTGAATGCTACAATTTAGATTTTCCTAGATCCAAAAACTATTTTCAGCTATTTTAGCTAACCGATTCTATATTTCTTACACTAATCTTTCAAAATATAAAAATTGAACACTCTACCATCCATCGTTCTTTCTGTCACCTCTCACCATCTTCTTCTTTTTCTTCCTTCTCCCAAACTTTACACCCCAATTCACCTTCTCCCCACCATCTTGTGCCCCTTCTGCTGCATTGGAGTAATACCGTGTGTAATCCGAGTTTTGTGGTTACCTCTCATTGGCGGATCGCCAGAGCAGCCGCCTCAAAAAACTACCATCAATCGTAGGCGATACACAATGGATTCCGAAGAGACGCAGCTATTTTTCCTTCTGTCCTCCGTTTCAACACAAGACGTCGGACCCCTATGTCCAACTGCTCTGCTGCTGCTGATGCTCCCCACTTTAAACTCGCCAGCTGCCCTTTCTCTGCATCTCTTTGTTTTCCCTACTGTTTCTCAATTTCTCTCTGATCCGTAAACTATTTCTTCGGGGTCGTCGTCTACGAAGACTCCGCCCCTTTTAGACCAGGCGTGTGTCGGTCCGTCCGATCACTTACAAACTCATTTCATTCTTCTTCTTATTCCCTCCACCAACTCTTTCTTCCCCAGATTATTTCTTCTAGAGATTCTGAGATTCTGATTCTTTTTATTCCTAAAATTCTAGATATTTCGATCAACTCATTCTGCTGGTTGTTATGCTGACAATTGATGATTAAGCATCACAACCTCCTAGAAAGAGTAGACCGATTCTATCTTATCTTTTTACGTATTTAATGCTAGCAGTAGCCTTAAAGGCACAGAATCTAAAATTTTGTTTCTAAAAAAACCTTTTAAACTGAAATTTGTATATAAAAATGAATAGAGCACAAGAAATAGTTTATATACAAAAAGTCACAAGGAGCAAAATTAAAGGAAGAATGAGACAAGGAAGACAGACACATGTGGTAGTGAATAGAGAAAATAGGACAGAGCAAGAGGGCAAAAGATCGAAAAGTTTTGGGGGAAAAAAAATATTGTCACGATGGAAACGAGTTTTTGAAATCTGAAAAAAAAGAGTTTTTAAGACGCAGGAGCATCTATAGGGTTGCGCATAATTACCCGGACTCAAGTTTGTACTAGCATAACATCTGAGTGGAGCGGTGTACTGAGCTCAAATTTATAGGGTTCTAATTCAAATAAATCGTCTGTAAACTGGCCAAGTTTCAAATTATTTGATCAATTTTGAGCTGAGTTATCGCTTGTCAAAGTTGCTCCATCTCATTAAAATCACAGGAAACATTTTCATTTTTGGATAATCATAGCAATATCTAGACTTGAGAAATTGCTTTGAAAATTTTAGCAGTTTTGAATCAAATGTAAAATTACATTTCTACCAATTTTGGTGTTTCCAAGAAACATGTCTGAAATTATGCTCGTCCTAGTCAGGGATTATGCGCCTTTGTATGTATTGCCTGAAAATAGCCAAATTTAAAGATCTGAAATTTGCTTAAATTTTGTCCAATTAGACTAGAAATGTTTACGTCAAACAAAAATAGCTTCATTAACTTGTAATTTATTAATTTTTGTCACATATTTCTCTGATTTTTGGAGGAAGTGTGCCTCAAAAGCACTTATGGATCTGTCCTTGATCAGCATGTCCGACACTTTGAGCTAATTTATCTCGGTTCCTATAAAATATATCAAAAATGTATCAACTGATAAAACATTGGTGATATTATGACAAACATTTTATCAGTCGACTACTTTTTCGTATCTTCTACAGGATCCGAGATAATTGGGCTTGAAGTTTGAGTATTTAGTGACCTTCTAATACGTAGAGCAAATACAGAATCTCGAGGACTACAGTAGTTGTATGCAGTTCAAAAAAAAGATTTATTATTGCTCAGTATTCCTAGACATTTAAAAAATTCAACACAATATAACCTTCCAAATCCTAAAATTACTTAAAAATTTGAGAACGAAAAACTGATTCCTAAAGTGCCGGGCATGCGATTTAGGTATATGAGACCCTACTGTGTCATAATGTAGGAAATTGATCCATGAGATCAAATTTCATCCTACTGTTTTTTTTCTACAGTAATCTACTAGAAATTCTGGTGCAAATTCATATGTAGACACAGACTTCCAAATTAGTTCCATTTCTTTTTTTTTCAATTTTGATTAGCCGATATTTTCTGCTGCAAAACTCTTCTTCTTCGAAATTTTTGCAATTTGTCAAGATGACCGTCGACTTCAAAAAAAAAAGCGATTTCTTTGAAGTCTAGCCGTCAGTATTTGTTCTTCTTCTTGACACAACCAGCCATTTCTACTAATAACAAACAGAAAATTCCAAAAATTGGCTTTTTTTTCTCCAGATGCAAGTCAGCCGGCACTTCTACACGTATCTCTCTCGATGATTTACGGAGAACAATGCACCAAGCAGCATCTCAATGGAGCGAACTTGCAGATGTGGAGATTTTGGAATCGTCCGTTGAGAAGCCGAATATACAGATTTCCGCGGGGGTATGAGGAATGGGCACATAAGTCGGAGAGTACAACGATTCGGGAGTATAAGAGGGTACAAAGAAATTTAGGGGTACAAAATCCACAATTCGGGGGTACACATTTAAATTTTTCAGGTATTTTGTATGCCCCGAATTAAGAATTTTTACCCCTCAATCGCATTGCACCCCAATGACCGCAACATTTTTGTACCCTCCGAAACATGTGCCTGAGGAATGAGGATGAATTAATAAGAGAGATTTTTTACAGAGATCCTCACATTATCCATGCAATGTTAGATTTGATTCACAGACACTGGCTCACGCCTTCTTTCCACCTCATGGACAGATTCATATAAATGATAATGTTCATTTTGTGATGACTAATTTTACAGAAAGGATTGGAGGTGAGTGGGTTAAGGTAAAAATGGAAACCTTAAATCAAGTAAAAAGTTCAGGCAACTCTCTCTACTCCGTCGTCGCTCACGAAATGGGTCACGCTTTGGGATTCAGTCACAGTCCGGATAGTGATAGTGTGATGTTTGCATATGATACACCACGAGAATGGAAATTCACTCCGATGGATAAGTATCGGATGGAAATGTATTATGGTACTAAGAAGAATCCAACGAAGCCAAAAGAGGATGAAAGGAAGAAGGAAGAGAGAAAGAAGGAGGAGAGAGGAAGGAAAACGGAAAAGGAGCACGAAAAAGATGATATTCGGCCGAATGAGTGTCGAGTGGATAACCCAATTGTGGTACAGTATCGAGGAGAGTATTTAGTTTTCAAGGTTAGTTGAGGGTTTGGGGTCTACAAAAACTGTTATGAAAGACTGGTCTATGTCAAATATGTTTTAGTTTAAAATTATCAACTTTGGGTGCCTGAATAGGGTTGGAAAATGTCAGAGATTATTAAGAATTTCAAAAAAGGGTGATAACTGCAAAAACGGATTTTAATTACACAGGTAAAATGCGAACGGATCCGTAACGGACGCTCAANAAAACAGAAAATGAAAAGAGCTGGAGCAGTTTATAATCAAATGAATAATAAAAGTTTGATAAGCGAAGGGTCCACAGTTTTGGGAAGATTCGAGGTCGATGCGATTATTGGTGGTGGAGGTTTCGCTCAGATTTATAAGTGAGTTTATGCATTTTCTGCGGCCGCGGCCAGAAAATTACAAGGA